AACAAGTACCACTGCTCTCTTATAGGGAAGGAAGAGTTATAAAAATGTAATTTATCTCTCATAAAGCAAAACAGAAAAACAGTGGAAGATTTAGAGTATGATGTTAGAAGATGAGGAGAAAGTTCTAAAAATTATATTGTCATCTATTTAAAGATATATGGGGTGAGAGAGGGAAAATGAGAGAGAGAATGAGAATGAATGAATGAATGAGAATACTAATGAATGAATAGGCAACTAGTTCAACTTTTAATCTCCGTTGACTCTAATAAGGCTTCTTAGTGATAACTTCAAGAATATAGTATTTGCTGAAGAAGTGAAAGAATTTGCTTATAATGGGAAATATAATGGGAAAGTTACATCATGACATACGTGGAAGGAGAAAAATGGTTTAATGTTTACAAGTATGGCTTTAAAAATATAAATGGTCAATTACTTAGACTTCAAACAACATTTTGAAAGACTACAAAATACGAATTTCTTCTCATGTATTATAGAACTGCTAACTAAATCTTAAACATACTAAAACTTTACTTTTGTGTTTTGAGTACTATCAGAACTCAGTATGTTTAGAAGTAGTTTTATATTTATATTGTTTAGAATTAATATTGAATTATGAGTGCTCTATTTAGTTTTATGATTATATTATAAAGCTAGAGTTAATGGATTGGAAGTATTAGCTGCCTAATTAGTAGTATATTTCTTATTTCTATAAAAATAAAATGAGTCATTATTATGGTCTTTCTGTTCATTTGAATGGTACCTATTCCAAGTCAACCTATGCAGCAGAGTTATAGGTATAGACCATCTTGATGGCTATAAAGCAAATTAAAGTATTTAGAGAGAAGGTCCTAAATATCACATTGGATCAACAAATATTTATTAACTGCTTAGTGCATTCCAGAAGCTCTGCTCTTTGCTGGGAATACAAAAATATAAAAGACCCAGTTTCTGCCCTCAGTTACCTTTTAGGTTAGGGGACATAGACTTATCAGGTAGTTTCAATTTAAGTGCTGCAATATCAGAATTAATATGAAGAATAGAATGAAGATAGTTATTTCTAAATGAGGTAATTTGGGAAAAATATGAAGAATTAGTGTACGTGTGAGTCATTCATAGATGGATCTGGGTGGGGTGAGTGGGATGAGATGAGATGTGGTTAAAAGAGGGAGAGGGTGGTGAAGATGCAACATTGCGGGCAGAGAGAACAGCATCATGTGTAAAGTAATGGAAGGGTGTACCAGCATAGTGCATGCAGGAAAACTACAAACAACCTTGCATTATTAAAACAAAGGGTAAGATCAAATGTGGTATAAAAAATGAGACTGAGGAGGCAATACTGACACTAATAGCTAGCATTTTTGAAGGCTAGTTAATGTAAAGGGTGGGGCAAAAGTAGGTTTACAGCTGTTCATATGGAAAATAATACACTAATAAGTAATGATACCAGAATAAACTCTGTTTTCAGTACTCACAACTGTAAACCTACTTTTGCCCACCCCTGTGCACAGGGCTTGAGGAGCATGATCATGCTTCATCTTGACAACAGCCCTCTGAGGTCTGTAATCTCATATTCCTCTTATTGCCCTGCCTACCTCCATGCAAAATGTTTCTACTCTGATGGCGTGATTTTAGCCATTACAACTTGAATGGAGGTTCATTGTAATGTAGAAATGCCACTGGAAGGGGGGAACAAATTCTCTGCCTAGAGACTGCCACCGGTGGCACTACCACACTCTTAGGCCTGGCGGTAAAGTTCACAAATCTAGACACACAATCTTGTTAGTGTCCGGAGTGGATTTAACTTGGGCTATGCAGACTTGTGCTAACCTCATTGCAGGAGACGAATTTAGTCAGAATGTTCTGAGGCAGTAGAGAGATGGCCTAGCATATGTGAGCAGTACTTGGGGTTTTGATGGAAACAAACACAATGTGAGTCAGTAGAACAATGTGCTTGCCAATAAGGTAATAATATCAGATGCTGAATTAATAGAGATATGGTATTTCAAGATGAAGGAGGTGGAAGTCCTTGCTTGTATTTGTCAAACCACAGAATATTTGAGAGAGAGCAATATGGATGCTAAGCCCTGTCACATAAAGATAAGTTGAAGCTGGTAGGTGTACTTTATCCTGAAGGAGAGAAGGCTGCCTTCAAATCAGATTTACATGGTTGTTGAGTTTATTTCCTCTGTCCTATCTGACTGCCATCTCTCTTAGTTCAGACTCTTACTAGTATTATTAGTCAGTTGAATTACTTTAATAGCCCAAATTATGGAATATAAGAGAATCCACTAAACTCCGGCTAGTTTAAATAGAAAAAAAAATGCTATTAAGATATATTAGTTAGCTCTCTTAAACAAGATAGGTTGCAGAAACAGGATCCAGATATCATTATAGGAATAAATTCCAGAACCACACAACTGAAATACAGTCCGAACAAGGAGCTGTTGCTACCCCAAATACACTTGATCAAAGTGTCATGATGCAAAAGATGTGGCTGCTGCCGTCAGTTTCATAACAACATCCCCTCTCTTGCCATCCACGCCAGCAAAATGGATGGCTTACTAGTGGCCTACTTCCTTACTTAGTTCACTTCTGAATCTACACCTCCTATAATTGCCTTTCATTGGTGGAAACTCAGCCACATGACTGTACCCTAGTTATAAGTGAGACTGGCAAAATGTAGTTTCTATAGATTCTTCCTTGGCGAGGTGGGACTGACACTGTGAGGTGTAATAAAGGTAGTGGGCATGTGCAAATACTGTTGGGCAGCCACACATGACAGCAGACCACTCTCGTCTCCTTGCCTTCTCTCAGATTTTCCTAATCCTTTAAGACCTGAATTCTGGTGAAGACTTCTCTGACTATTCCATCTGTCCTCTGTTTCCCAAGCATCATATACATTCCTCTATTATAATTATTTCTTAACATATCCATTTTCCAAACTTGACCATGGGTTATTATTTTTATTTAAGAAAGATGGCATTGTCCCAAGTGCTTCATAAATAAATAACCCATTTAATTTGTGGGTACAAACAGACTTTCAAATTTGCACTCCCCTAGACCTAGCAAAGCTCTGGGTGCATGGTATGTGTCCAGTAAATAAGTGGTTCACAAATTAGAAAGTACATATTTCACATCCAGGCGTCTAAAGGAAACCTTAGCAAAAATCACAATACCCTAAGTTAGGGTGGGCGGCCTGCTGAGGTAGTGAGTTCCCTGTTAGTTGAAGTTGACACAGAACATAGATGAGTATCTGTGGACTACATCAAAAGTGCTATCCGACTTCGTGTTTGTGATTTTTGATTCAACTGTGTTAAATCTAGCCTATGAGAGAGAAAGAGAGAAGAAAAATGTGTTCTGCCTTCAAGTAAGTCATTAACAAGTATGACATACAAATGAGAAATAAGATGATAAGACAGGAAATGTAGAGGTAGAGGCAGTGATAAAGGTGATAGGAGGAGCGATCATGTATATATACACTAGATTTATAAGAATTGTCATAGGAGTCACTGCAGTGGGTACAAATACAGGTCGTGAGATTCTGGCTGACACTGCAGTTACTATTTAAGAGATAAGTGTAGTTTGATTACTTTTCATGGATCCTTTGTGGGTTTTTTTTCCTCCCACATTGTCACATATCTCTCTGTTAAATAACTTCAGTATTTTTCTTTGACCATTAGTTTACTTGATTAAAAAAACAGTAATGGCCAGAATTACTAAGAGAATAAAAGGATAAAAAATCAATTAAAATTGAGGTACAATTTACATATCATTAAGTCTGCCCTCTAAAAGTGTTCAATGTGTTTTTTAAGTGTATTCAAAGACTTGTATAACCATCACAACAGTGCTTAGAATATTTATATCACCTGAGAAAGAATCGCTGTACACATTAGCAGTCATACCCCAATCTGCCCATCCCCTCCTCCCCGGGCCTTGGCAACCGCTAATCCACTTTCTGTCTCTATAGAATTGCCTCTTCTGGACATTTAATATAAATGGAATCATATAACATGTGTGTTTTGTGACTGGCTTCTTTCACTTAGCATAATGTGATTTCTTGGTTCATGAATGTAAGAGTATTTCATTCCTGTTCATGGCTACATAACATTCACTTGTATGGACATATTACATTTGTTTATCCATTCATCTTACTTGATGGACATTTGGATTGTCTCCACTCATTGGTGATGCTACACTGAACATTCCTGTACACATTTTTGGTGTGGATATGTTTTTATTTCTTTTGGGTATAACCTGGGTCATGTGATAACTCTATGTGTAACTTTTTGAGGAACTACTAGACTGTTTTCCAAAGTAGCTGCATCATATCACATTCTCAACTTCTCCACATACAAACCAACATTTACTGAACCTCGAACAATGTGTTCTTATAAGTGAACATTTTCCCCTCCAATGAGGGATTTTTGTTATCCCATTATAGGTAATTATATTTCTACCTCTTTTTTTTCCCCAAATCCAGTAACTTCTTATGAATTAACAGGAGATATATATATAAATTAAGTAATATATATATTAAGTAATATATATATGTTAAGTAATATATAAATTACTTTTAATTTACTGTTAATTTATACATAATAGATTTACTGTTTATTTATAAACCATATTTGCTCCTCTAAATAGTAGTGATCCTAGGAGAGCATATAGAAAATAATAAAGTATGTGTTTGGTAGTTATTATATTTATTTTTTAATTGGGGCAAATAAATAGCTTTGCTAAGGCTGTATGATGTATATCTATGCTATAAACTGCCAATTTATTCTGTGGGATAGTTAAAATTGTTCCTTTCTGCTCATTATTTGACTAGGTAGAAATATGAGCCATGAATATATGGTAGATTTTATATAAGATTACAGTATCTAGAGTGGAAAATAATAGCAAAGGATCCACAAAAATAATAAATATTAATATTTATTCATCACTTTTGAAACTCTTAAGCAGAAATTTGCTAATGCTCTCCAAAATGTTCTTTCTAACAGGAGGACATGAACCTCAATGAAGAACGGAAAGCTCCTTTACGAAACAAAGATTTTACCACCAAGCACGAGATGGTTGTCCAGTATATTTCTGCTACAGCCAAATCTGTAAGTAGTGAGTCCTGGCACCAACATAATAAGCTTAGCCTTATCTGCTTAAAAATAAACCGCAGATCTTCAAGTTCTTGCCTCACTGTACTCATATAGCCTATTTGGGAAAAAATTATACAAGTGTTTTTATGCATTTAATATATATATATATATATGTATATATATATATTGAAGTGTTCAAAATTAGAGCGAATTCCATTATAAACAAGACAAACTAAAGATAGAAGGCTCTGAGTTAAACCAGTGAGTCTTGGGATGGAGGTTTTGTGTGCTTACTAAAAACTGACAACAATTTGCAGGTATTCCATTTAATATACAGTTTGTTACATGAACATTTTAGATTTTGAGGTTGAAGACACAAATATAGCCTAATCATAAGCTTTGACTAAGTTTACGCTAATGCTACATGCCTGGGTCTGCTTGCATGAATATTTTAAAAATATTTTTAATAGGCAATTTTGTTTCTTCATTATTTTACATGATACTATGTAAACTACCTTGTAATTGTTATTGTACAGCTTTATTTGATAAAGAAGGTTGCTTAATAGGAACTTTAATAAGATCTGTGTGAGTTTCAAAATATTTGAAAGTGGGGTTCATTTGCAAAGACTTATCAGAAGGAAAAACACAATTTTTTGATGGAATATGTTGCTTTCTTCACATCTTAAGGTGCTTCCAAAAGTAGTCTCCAGGGTAGTGTGTGTTTTTTTTAATAAAAAAAAGTTTTTTTGAAATGGGGAAATGCATTGTTTATGTACCTATAAAGAAAACCCTTTTCTCATTTAGATATCATAAAATCACTGTGTATGTATATATTACATATATGGGTGTATGCACACACACAAACACACAGTGATTTTAGGTATGGCATGTATATTATATATATATATATATATATATATGCATTTACATGCATATTTTAAATTTATAAAGCTGACCAGAGAAGAAAAGAGTTCTTCATTGGAAAAGTATATTCTAAAATTATTTGGCTCTCCTATTAATGCTATTTCAGTATAGTAATTGCAGTGGCAATTGCTGATGCATTTTGCCCTGAATTCCACGATCATATTGATTCCATATTATACTTTAAGCAAGCTAAATCCGAATGCCGAACTATTTAAACATAACGCATTGCAGCTCTGCCAGAGCAGAACAACAGCATGTTTTTTAATTTGCTTCTGGTATCCAAGGGCAGAAATATGTTTCGAGTGATAAGTGAAATTTGCCATGAGCGTTGTTTTCAATAGAATTAGGTGATGCATAGGGTTTTACTTTGAAATTCTGATGAATCTCTTCTCATTTTGCACTCAAGTTATTGTTCACAGTAAAATGCTTTAGGAAGATGCAGGGTGTACATTCAGTGTTATTTTTCAAATACCTAAAGGCAAATACAGGAGTAAATCTATATAACCAAATCTGAGTGCAAAGTATGGATAATAATATATGAATAATCATGCCATATTTTTAATGAGATGATTTCGTTAGTGTTTCTGGTTCATTTATTGTTTTGGTTGTGTAAGTGGGGCTGAATATAATGAAGATTATATGAAGCTCTTCTTCACCTTTTGATTTTCACTCTGTCGCTATGTAGAACTTGTCATTTTTTCTCATATTGTTTCCTTTTCAAATGACCAAAGAAATGCACAATTTAAGTCATACACTCATTTTTCAGATTAAAATGCTAAAATTTGGGGAAATGTGCAATGAGCTCTCTTGAATTGCTTTATTCAAAAAATGGAAATTGAATATTTCTCAAAAGTCATTGAAAATTCTATGTTTAAGCCAGGCGTTCACCTCAAAGTCAGTACTGTAACTCTTTATTATATGACCTTTGTTTCATTCAACATACATATGAGCACCTGACACATGTCCAGCACTTTCATTAGAGTTCCAAGATTATACGTTTTATTTGCTAATATTTTTCAAGGAGCAAATATTATGGTGAAAGAAAGCCTGTTGATAAGCATGTTTTAAAGCTCCCTCACCTTGGGGAACCATTAATTAGTACTGTGTTTTCTGTTGTTAAAACAAAGAAAATTGCTTATGTAATTTCTTTATGAAGATGAGAGGAATGCCATTCAGTGACAAACAATTCTCTTACCTTTTGACCTCTTCATGATTATGACAATAAAATTTCCATAAATTATAACCTATGGCTGTTTACCTATGTGTAATCAAGGTTTCCATCCTGCTTGCATATCTTATACATTGTTATGCTTACTTTTTCATTATATTGATACACTGCTTAAAAATGTTTTCTCTTGTAAAATAAGCAGGATTCTAACCACTTCTTTATGAAAATTATTTATAAGTAGTCAAAACTTTCATCTTGAAGTAAAAATAAGTTAAGGGCTAGAGTCCCTGGTGGAAAAATGTTTTGTAGTCACATGTAAAACATGTGAGAATTGCAGGTAAATTGAGACATAAATTGTGCATTTCCCCCTTTAACACCTGCATTAGTCATTTTCTATGGCATTGAACACAAACAACATGTGAGCTCAATAGGAAATGTCCATCATCCTCCTGGGTGCCTGTAAGGACAGTAAAGCAAAATGAAACTGTACATAGGTATGTGCTCAAAACCTGTTTCTAAAGCAAACCAGAGACTATTGTTTAATTAACGGGGCTAAAATTGGCATGGAATCAGAGAATATAAAGGAAATTAAAAGATAATAATGAAAACTATTGCTTAGTTTTTCCCCTTTCAAGTCCCACAATAGAGAATGTTGCATTGTGTGAATATTAAAGGAAGAAGTAGCTTGAGTAACTGTCAGAGATGAATGAACTTTAAATCAGGGAGCAGAGAAGAGCATTTCCTCTGCACCAGCCCGGCTGGCTTGCTTATTGTAGCCTGCGCAGTTCTGGACCTGACCTCAGATAGCTGGTACACATAGGTCATTTGGCCGCAAATAAACTGGAAGAGTCTATATTTTAAACACCAACATATGTTTTCAGAACTGGAAAACCAAGCTTTGTGAACATTGCAAATGTAGTCATACCAATTCATAATCCTGAAGCAGGGCAGAATACATCGGTGGTTTGGAGGGCATCTTGCATGTTATATCAGAACAGCTTATTTTGGCAGTTATGAGGAAAAATTAGTCACTGAAATCCTAACCTTAGCTCGCCACATGTCAGTGTCCATATTATAATATTAAGAAGCAAGTTTATTTCTAACTTAAATCACAATCTTTAAAGTTGATATTTTAAAATATGTAAAATTATATTTTTGAAGACACGTGAGCCCTTGACAGGTATCATTGGAAAAAAAGATCTCAATAGGAAATAATTTCAAATAGTGATACCAAATACATCTATAGATTTTTTTAGATTGACCTGTATAATAAGCAGTTAAAGTTTCAGTATAGCTGTGTGTGTGTGTGTGTGTGTGTGTGTGTGTTTGTATACATGTATTATGGCTTTGCTCTTGCCATTATAGATATTTTCTTTCTCAGGTCTTCTTTTCCAGGCATGATCTGGATTTGGTGAAACACCTGAACCCAAACATGACCAAACCAGTTTTTCTTAGTTTTCCTCTGCCAATCTTAACTGTTCGCTTCAGCTAAATGCAGTCGTTTTTCAATCTGAGTGAATCATTAAATGGGCCATACCCTGGTCATTTCCCTGGGTATAGACCTACCTTAATTGTTAAGACAGGCTGGCATTCTTTTTAAGTTTCATGTCTGTGCTAAATAAACAAGGGACAAATACATAAGACTTCTGTCTTTTTGGAGGGAGGAAATAATTTAGGTCAATAGCATATCTTTCAATTCAGAGGACTGTTAATGGCACCAAAGAGGCTTTTATTCAACTAAATGATCACTGCCTGTAAATAGTCTGTTGAGTGAATATTTAAGAAAGCTGCTTCTCTCTCTGGAGATTCATGGATTCCTCTAAAATTATTTACTTGGAAACTGTCATTATTGTTTTGTATCTTGTGGTATCCTATTCAATTTAGGATTCCTACTGGAATTTCAATTATATTTGATTTTTTTAAGTACTATCTGAAAAATAGAACACATATTGATAACAACTTCTATCAGATTAATGGTTTTAGATTGTGGGTTAGCATTTTTTGGACATTGCTTGATATTTATGTGTAGAATTCTGATAACAGTGGTTTGATTTATGTTTGGATTTTGGCATTAAATTATGTTTAAGACTTTTTTTTCCCCCCTTTATTTGCATTTTTTTTTATTATTAGTTAAGGTATTACAAATGTGTCCTCATCCCCCCCATTAACCCCCAACCTCCCCCCCACACACACTCATGCTACCATCCCCCTGTTGATGTTTAAGACTTTGATTTTACTTCTTTTTAAAACACAATTCTGCCTCTCAGAAATTCTCTTGTCTCTTATGCATTAGGAAAAGCTCAGTCCAACTTACAATTTTGAACTGTTCCTTCCTTATGAATATCTGCATGTTTAGATATAAAATGCTTCTTTGTCTTCATATGATATGGAGAAATCTGATCTTAGAAATGCTAAGATGACCTAGAAAACTAAAATCATAAGCAATCTCTCTTCTTTGTAATTTTCAAGTATAATACTAAATATTATAAACTTTAAATTTATAATAATATAAAATATTCCAGTTTTCAACCTAACTTTCATTTCTTAACTTAGTACACGATGTTGAATGCAACATTTATATTCTAAAATACCCTATTTCAACATTAAGGTTATAACAGGGGAAGGGAAAAAAACAAGCAATATTTGGGAAAAAGTAATTTTCTATTGATAAGTTTTGGAGGAGCTGTGGGCTGGTAAAATATCTGATGCCTAATTACACTTAATCTTGCATTACTTGGTGTTTTGATTGCACTATATGAGAATCCCATCACAGTACATTTAAAATAAAACACACCTCAAATTGTAATAATTTTTTTGGGGGAAACCTTATTCCACAGACTTTACACATTTTTGAAATGTGGTAGAAATTTTTAGATTGTAGAACTAAAGTATTAAAAGCATACATAGGGTTAGCTATTTACTAATTTACTAAACACTTAACTTTTGTAAAAAGCTTCTAATTACTAATACTGTTGCTGTTTGTTTTTGTTTTTTGTTTTACACCATAACCACTCTTCATCGACCACTGCATGCAGATAGTTGGAAGTAAAGTTACGGTGAGTACAAAAGATGTGTTTTACCCTTAGATGTGAATTTGTGCTTTTTGGAATTGAGTGACTTTTGCTTATTGTATTTTATATGCTTGGTTTTTCTTTTGGTGTATATTTTACCAAAGCAGTGAGATGAATATTATGATTGGGTGGTTAAAATTTAGCTATGATAAGTATTTTTTCTGTGGTCTTGGAAAATGTTTTAGAACTAGAACACACTTGTATATTTTGTCTTAGAAAGTTTTACTTTTTTTTTAGAATTGTGCTTGTGCCAGTCTTTATGATTCTGATAAAATTGCATGTTGTATCTCAGTCTCTCAGGATGGCAGGGGAAGGACTCCTAAAATGTTGGTTTATGTGACCCGGAATTCTTATTAAAATGCCTCGCTGTGATTTAATATCACTGAGCACATAGCGTAATGAAAACAATCCTTGATGTTCAGTCAGGAGGTCTAGGTGCCTGTCTTTGTTGGATGCTACTCATGGGCTCTGTGACTTTGGGCAAGTCATATAATTTCACTGTGACTCAGGTATTAAATAGATAAATTGAAGTGATTGGCTTATCTTATCTTTTTAAAAAATAGTTTATTGGTTTTTAGAGAGAGAGAAAGGGGTGAGAGAGAGAGGAAACATTAATGTGAGACCGTAACATCCATCAGTTGCCTCCTGCATGCCCCCTACTGCAGGGGATCTAGCTGCAACCCTGGCATGTGCCCTGGCCAGGAATGGGACCAGCAACCTTTTGGTGCACTGGACGATGCCCAACCAACTGAGCCACACTGAATAGGGCATATTATCTTTAAAGACTCTGTTGCTGTCTTTTAAAAGTGTTCTATTCAAAGCACTGTATTTCAATGTTATAATTACGCTAGAGGCCTGGTGCATGACATTCGTGCACAGGGGGTGTGGGGGTCCCTCAGCCTGACCTGCACCCTCTCCAATCTGGGAGCCCTCAGGGGAGCCCTCTCCAATCCGGGAGTTTCTGTCTGTCTTTGAAATCATATGAGTGAATTGTCTGAGACCCCAACTCAGTTTGGTTTGTTGCTCACAGAATAATAGAGGCATTTTTTTTTTCTTTGCTTCATTGGTGGAGATGTCCTGGAACTTTTAGGATATCTTCCCTTTAATTTTTCCTAGACACTCTGATTTTACTTATGTGTCTCACCTTTGCTTTCCCTCCATCCCCCACCACAACAGTAACTTGCTCCAGGCTCACTTTGCTCTAGTATCTAGGAGATCCATCTGCCACCAGAACTACGATTCCCAGAATTCCTGGTGCTCCCTGCGCTCTGGGCTTCAGCTTCCGGTCCTGGGGCTGCCACCAGAACTACTATTCCCAGAATTCCTGATGCTCCCCATGCTCTTGGTTTTCCCTTCCTGCTCTGTCTCTGTCCCATGGCCTCCCACTCTGCCAAGTCCTCCAGGCTGCTGCCACTCCAGCTCTGCTCTCTGCCCGGTAGCTTGGGGGGGCATGGGTCCCTCGGTCGCTGGGAGCAACTGAGGGAGCCACATCCCCCCAAACCTCTGGCTCTCCTGCTCTGCTCTCAACCTGTGGCTTGGGGAGAGCAACCGATGGAGCCACGTCCCCCCAATCTGCCAGATCTCCCGTTCTGCTCTCCAACTGGCGCCTCTGTATGCAAATTAACCCACCATTTTTGCCGGGTTAATTTGCATACTCACTCCTGATTGGCTGGTGACCGTAGTGGAGGGTCAGTCAATTTACATATGTCTCTTTTATTATATAGGATGATACACTATTGCATAATACACCAAAATGCCCTGTATTGTAATTGAGAGCTGTCTGTAATCACCTTGCCTTCATGACTAAGCAGTCTGTAGGAGGAAACATCTTTAACATCACCATGTACCATGGTATCTAGAATAGTGAATGTGTCTGATATTTGCTTTGCTTTAAAATTTTGCTTTCTTCTTTTCCCTTTTGTAATTCAAAGTGACATCTAGGGGGAAAAAGCCATCAATCTTTCAGGATGATTGAAGAAATCAGCACATATTTCATTAGTGCTTGTTATGTGCCAAGAACTGTGCTAGGTGCATTGATGACTGGAAAATAAGAATGAGATAAGACCTTTTAGTTTCAATAATATATGTTGAAATAATTAAACCTTCCATTGAGCATGCTGATTGTAGATGTACAGCATGTCCTCGAGTAACGTTGTTTTGTTCAGCATCGTTTCATTATGACATTGATGAGATACTGTAGGAACTTAACTCTTGTTTATATCAATTAGTCTGTGTTAAAATTGTTTTCATTATATGTCATCTCACTTAAAATTAAAGCTTCCAAGAACCTATGGATGATGTTAAATGAGGACTTATTGTAATAGAAATTCATATGCAGGAGAGAGAAGTAGGGTTAGAGTAATTAGAGAAAATTCCTTGAAAATTTCTGAACTTAAATTGATGGCTGGGAGTGGACTAGGGAGGGGAGACTATGGAAGCTACCAGATTAGGATAGTACTATTCAATGCAAAAGTTTAGAGGAAGAACCAAATCGTGTTGGGGGTTGGGGCAGGGAAGGGGAAAGCAAGAGATGAGGCTGAGTTTGCTAGAACAAAGAATGTATATTGCAAAGAATAAAAAATCAATTTGAAAGAGGATCTCAAAGTCCTGGCAGAATAATAGAAATTAGTTTGAGCTAAATTCAGCAGGGTTTAAGAAAAATAAGTTTGATAGTAGGTAGGCTGGATTAGGCAAATGGTTCTCAAACTTGAAAGTGTAACAAACTGCAGTTTTTGTCCTTTATGGGGATACAAGAACTCTGCATTTCGTACCAAGCACCACAGGCAGTTCTGTTAAGGTAGGCTGAGGAGCACACTTTGAGAAATGCTGGATTATGATGGAGAGAGATTTTTTCGGGGGGCTACCCAGGAGATGTGTGTGTGAGTCAGTGAGAACCTGTATTGTACTGCAGGGTAGATTTAGATGGGTGGGGTTAAATCATGGAGTTTTGTGTGATAAAGGAATCTTGAACTTATTTGAATGTGAGCAGGAGCCAGCCTATATTTCTGATCTTGGCACCATAAACAATCCAATGGCCTATGCTAGAAACCAGTGAAATACTACAGATTCCACCACATCCAATTACCAACTTCTATGACTATTTTCTCTAAGTAACTCTTAACTCTCTCCCCTAATAACCTACACCACACCCCCTTAGTTCAGAGTCATCATTTCCCACACCAATAACTGCCCTGCCTAGTGGGTAGTCTCCCAGTCTTTGTTCTCTCATTGGGCTCCTGCATGTTCTACACTGTGACCAGAGATCGTGTTTCCCTCTTAAAACTTTCAGATGGCTCCCTCTTGGCCTTTGTGACCTTATCCCTGCATCCTTTCTAATTTCATCTCCAGCTGCATAGTACATGTGCCTGCCACCTGGCTATATAGCAGCTCTTAGAAATTCCTTAACATCCTATTCTTTAATACTTTTAAATCAAGCATGTTCTATTTCTTTGAGCTGGAATGCCCTTTTCTTTTCTAACTTGCCCAGCAAGCTCCTAAATATCTATTCAAATTAAGTTTCATGTCAGTCTTCAGAGAAGCTGTCCTAGATAACTCCTTCCTTCCCATAGCACTGTGTATATAACTGTATTATAATATTGAACATATTTTAATAAATCATTTATATGTCTTCCCCAATGAACATTGCTCCTGCTCTCAAAACGCTAGGTCTAATGGGGAAGACAGACAGGTAAACACAATAAAGGCAGGGTCTGAAGATGCAATGTAATAAAAGTTGCAAAGTGGCAGGCCAATAGGCTGTATATGGTTCATGGAAAAGTTTCATTTTGTCTGAGAATGTTTAGAAAGACAGTATGAGATGGGTGTTATGATTGATCTGCAATATAAACTGTTTCATATCCATTGTCTATGACCTGCTTCTCACACTGGAGTTTGCAAACCCTGCGATAAAGGAAACCATAGGAATCAGCTTCCAGAGGAAGTGATGAGGGGTTAGTTCTACAAGTTTAGATGGGAGGCGTCCCTAAAGGGAGACGTTTTTGTTGTTGTCTTAAGACTAGAGAGAGGAGTGGACAAATAGTATTTACAACCACTCTGGTGAAAATCAGGTACAAATGGCCTTAATTTTCATGGTCTCATTAATTTTCAAAAGAGGAGAATGTTTGTTCATTGATAAAATGGGCAGGTTAGAATTTCATAGAACTGTTGCAGAGAGAAGAATTTCTAGAATAACCACTTTAAGAATCATAGTTACCTAGAAATTACATACTTTGGTCAAAAAAGTGAGTGATAGAGAAGCCAGAATGAAATTGAAAAGGTGGAATATGTAATTAACGGGTCGCCCTGACCCTGTCTTTCTTTTGTCTCTTCGGTGTTGATCAGGAGCAGAAATGGAGGCATTTGAGGCCCTCCTGATCTTGAACTACTGCCACTTGTGCTTTTCACTCTTCCCCTTTATCAATTTTACTTTAAAAATCAGGCTGAAAAACTGCCTGTTACCTTAACATAACCAACCTCTCAGCCTCATGCAGTCTTGCTTCTGACTTTGCTCATCTGATTTTTTTGTTTTATTTTGTTTTGTGTGTTTGGGTTTTTTTTCCATGGAACGTTTCCCTTCGTTTGTCCACATTCTGCCCCTCCTCTATGGCTCTTCCATGAAGCCTAGCCTGAGTCCCACCTCCATCCCCTGCTCCCGATTTCTACCTAACAATTTCTCTGAAATTTTATAGCACTTTCTTTTCTTCTATCTCTTACGGAATCACTTTCTACCTCATCTTATACTTTCTATTACATTTTATGTTCCTTAAGGGCTTCTCTTATAATACTCCTATTTTACTTTATAGCAGTGATTTTCAACATTTTATGTATTATGGCAAACATAAAGTAATTACTAAAATTCTGCTGCACACCAAAAAATATATTTTTGCCAGTCTGACAAAAAAAATAGGTGTAGTTTTGATTCATTCATGTCAGATGGCTATTGTTGTGTTGGATGTTGTCATTTTTAAATTTGACAATCCTAGGGA